TCCCAGAGTTGCGCCGTCCTTGACACCAAAAGGGGGCGTATATAAGCTGGATATCTGGGGCCCGTAGCTCAGTGGAAGAGCAACCGGCTCATAACCGGTAGGTCGCTGGTTCGAACCCAGCCGGGCCCACTTCCTTCGCCAAGCTTTTTTCGCCTACAAGAACCTATACTCTTACCCTCCAGCTGAAGGGATAAGTGTTAGTTCCCAAGGTCGTTGACCCTCCACTCAACTCGTAAAGTATTCTCACTCTTTATGGAGCTGTTTAACCTTTCGTTTTTCAAAGGATGTCCACGAAGCAAAACTGAAATTCTGTCGACGTATTAATAATGGCTTTTGATAGACAAACTTTGGAAATACTTCTCCGTCAACCTGAAGGGCCTGCCCTTGACTTCAAGCAGGAACAATATCGATTTGTTGGCGAAGACAATTATACAAAGTCAGAATTGCTGAAGGACATTCTTGCTTTCGCGAATTCTTGGCGCAATACGACAGGCTATATTCTGATAGGAGTGAAGGAGGTTAAAGGAGGACGCAGCGAGATTGTCGGGGTTAGTAACCACATAGAAGATGCAGACCTCCATGCATTCGTCAACAATAAAACACAGCGGCCTGTAAACTTCGCATATTTCCAGTTCCAAGTAGATGGTGTTGAGATAGGCGTCATTGAAATTCCAGTTCAAAGACGGCCAATATTCCTCACTAAGAAGTTTGGAAAGGTAGAGGCTAATGTAGTTTGGGCTAGGGATGGTAGTGGATCTAAGCCAATGGACCCGGATCAAATAGTTGACATTGGAGCCGCTTCCGCCCTAATTAGCGAGCCTCAATTCCGCTTAGAATGGGGAACTCTAAAGGAACGCAAGACTTTCCCACAATCACATAAGGTTATTTCGTTGGAACTCAACCCGTTGCTCCCTCTTGATACCTTCCAGCCAAAGCAACCTCGCGGATATTTGACAATTCCAGACATCAACCCGGATTATTCTGGCGATTTGATAACTTACGTTGCCCGGAGGAATTTCTTCGTACCTATAGGTTTTCACCTTCGGAACACTAGCAGTACCGTTGGTAAACGGATTCGCTTTACTGGACATGTGCCCAAGTCAGAAGGCTTAAATCTACTAGAGTGGCTTGAAGACATACCTTCACCAAAAAGTGCTTTTTTCGACCCCAGCATTCCAGACATTAGATCCTATAACGACGAAGCTGCTGACCTAGAGTTGAAGGATATTGGAGACCGCTGGGAAGTCATAATCAATTTTGGAGATGTCCGGCCGCACGATAGTTTATGGACAGACAGCTCTTTATATATAGGGTCAATTGTTTCCACACCTTTGACTCTAAAAGGTGTGCTCAGAGGGGACAATCTTTCAGAACCGATAAAGTGTGAGCTTCAAGTTCAAATTGAAACCGAACGCAGGGCCATGACGGTTGACGACGTACGCCCGTTCTTGAAAATTGGCTAAGGTCTTTCTCTCAGATCATTCTGAAGGTGGTCCAGAATCAATTTCCCATTGCCTCTTTACCTCTAAAGGAACATACGCCTGCCAAAAGTGTCCCTTTCAAAAATACCCCTTAGCCACCACGTCAGCGCGCTTGGCCCGCACTACTGGGCCATGCCTGGGCTGGATACCAAAGCCTTCAAACTCCAGCCTCCCAAAGCAACATTACTAAAGCGCCAGTCTCCTGCCAGACAGCAAACAATCGCTCCGCCCTTTGCCCCGTCAGGCCGCTAGTACTACAACGACGCGTTTAAGGTGGTGGCTCCATCCTGCCTTCACGGCGGGCGGAGCGGCGTCTCTGGTGGGAGCGGCGAGCCCGCTCGTTGCGTAGCTGCGTATCCTCCAGCCACAGCAGCAGCAACTCCTCCGGCCCGAACCGTTCCGGGGCAGCATCTCCCGCACCACCCGGTACACGTCACACGGGGGCAGGCTCTGGGACGGGTGATCCGGGGCATCTTTTTCCCCCCAAGCCTGCTGCAGGCCCAGCAGGAAAGCTCCACCCAGCAGCACCATGGCTCATGTGGTGATGCCACCCTGCCCAGCTGCGGGTCTCGTATTCGTCCAGCCCCACGTCGCCCTTCTCAGTCTCGAATTCCGTTTAAAACCACTGGGGGGGGGCGCAAGGCCAGAAACAGCCCCACAACCCGTACAACAGAGGACGTAGAAAAGCGCAAGATTAAAAAGTGCGACAACCACCTGCCAAAACCTCCCTGTACATGAAAAAGCGACCATGACAAACAAAATCGAATACGGGGCGGACTGGAGGATAGAAACTAAGGTCAAGACGAATTAGGCCAAAAGGAAACACGGCCAAGTTTAACAGGGAAGGTGGAAAGTAAGAAAGTAAAGAGAGACAAAAGAGTGCACAGAAGGCCTAATGTCAGCAGCGTAAAAAAGCCACACAACTGGAGAGGGTTAGCAACACGCATTCAGTCGCTGACACTAAAGATAAACGTAAGACAACAGCAGCAAGAAAGCCGTGGTGAACTACAAAAAAAGCGAACCGCACAGAAGGCAATCAGAACAGAGGAGTAACGCAAGAGATGAAAGTAAGTAGAAGGAAGGCAGGGAAAAAATCTAGAAAAGAAGAACCTGCCAAAAACAACCCAAACACCCCACGCGGCAAAGGTAAACGGCGAACCGGAAAGGGGAGCACGGCGGCCCCACGGCAAAGACAGGAAAAAGGGGGGGGAGGACCAAAGAGAAACGAAAGATGAGCACAGAGTGACATCGGCGCGCCCTTCTTCCCCCTGGAACCCCCCAACGCCGCCAGGGTCTCCAAGTTGTGTCCTCAGGAGCGTTGGACAGGGTATAGCGGGGCCTCGCTGCCGTCCAGGTTCCGGCGGTAGACGGCCCATGCCTCATGGCCCGGCTTGCCCTTTCGGGTACCCGCACCCGCTGGGCGCAGAACATATAGCTCCGCGGTCCCCTGCTTCCCTGGCCACCGTTATCTCCCGCCATGCCTCATCCTGCAACTCGTCACTGCGCTTCTCCATGTACGACGCTGGCCCGTCCCTGAGCCTGGGCTGCGGGGCGCCCGAAACCCTGAGACCTCGGAGTGGTCCAGTGCCGACTCCCACGAAGGCTCCAGGGGCCAGACCGGAGTGCTGCCCGAACGTCCAGCACGTAGCGCATCCCCAGGCCCGCCAGTCCCTCCCTGACGGTCGTCGACATCCCGAAGGCGGTCGTCTCCGGCAACCCCCTCCCGGCCTGAGGTGCCCAACCCCAGGGCCGCTCCAGCAGTTCCAGGGTCAACTCCGTCTTCGACCGGTAGCTCCGCCGCTCCTCGTGCACCCCCGCCGCCGCACAGCGGCCCGGATCCGAGGTCCAACTCTCGGGCAGATACAGCCCTTTGTCCACCAATGCCCGCCCCAGCGGGCTGACCTAGGCCAGGAACATCCCACCCGGCAGTTGGCCACCTTGCCCAGCCTCCCGCGTACTGCCGGGCTACCCCCACGGACTTCCTCCCCTGCTTGGGAAAGTCGCTGCCGTCCAACACCCACACCGCCTCGGGTGAGCCAGCCTGGGGGCCAGGTATTCCTGCAGCCCGCCCGATCACTGTCGCATCGTCCCACCGGGCCCTCGGTCAGAAACGCTGCAGACATCGCCCGGGCCGATATGCCCACCGATTCCGACAGGTTCTCGGCTTTGCGCCGCTCCCCAGCCTGCACCAGCAGCCCCTGAAGATAGTTCCGGCTATGCTCCCGCCACTGCTTGCGGTCCGAAGGAGGCCGCAAAGAAGCGTGAAAAGTCCCTCAAAGTCTGTCGTAGAACCCCGCTCGAAGCTCGCCCCATCCATAACCCAAACCACCCACTATCATCTTGGCAACTATCCTACCAAACAACCCGTCGTTGTAGTACTAGTACGTGCCCCCAACTTCCGGAAACGGGTCCTGCTCACTGAGCAACGATTGCGATTCCCGAATGGACATACCCAGCTTCGTCTTGTCTCCCCAGAGACTCTTGACGTAATTAAGCAGGTCAATAGTTTCCTGGTGGCTCAGTTGGTCACCAAAGGCCGGCATCCCGCTCTTGAAGCTCGGCACTTCAGGCACTGCCCCTCCTTCGCTGACAATCCGGTAAAGGAGACCATCCGCGTGGTGCCAGGTATGTCCGTCGCCATTGAGCGGAGGGGAGGCAGCGTCCCCTCCGCCTTCTTAACATGCCAGTCCGGCTGCCCTTCACCGCTTGCCCCCATGGCAAACGGCGCAGTTTGCAGCGAAAAGTTCCTCCCCAGTCAAAGCGGAGCCAGCGGCGGACACATCCAACAATGCAGGATTCTCTTCAGCTTCGGAGGAACAGCCAACCACGAACACGGCCATCAGCATTAGAACCGCGAACGCCACAATCGCACATTAACGGAATCTTGCGCGAACAAATCCAGGCATATTCACTTCTTTGGGCATCGATGTACCTATCCCCAGCGCAGATCTCAGCTTCTCAAAGAAAGGGGTCGAAGAATGGGGAAAACCGATGCTCAACAAACCGTCGAGAAGCCTTCACCTTCGAAGATGCCATTGGCGCGTTGCATCTCTCGCACGTAGCAACTTATCTTTTCCACGTCTTCCTCTGCCAGGCCGGAAACAGGAGGCATGTCCCCAAATCCCCAATGGTGGCGAGAAACACCGCGACGAGTTGCGTTGCGAAAGCTGGAATCCGGATGATGGCCAGGGTGGTAGATTCTGTTGATCAGTGTAGGGCCGCTGCCTGTTCCAGCGGCGTTGATTCCATGGCACAGCGAGCAGTGGGTGTTGAAACAGTCCCTCTCCCGTGATAGCCATGCTGGTTAACTCGGTTACGGTTGCTCCTTCAAGGCCGTCACTGGAGGAAGAGTACGATTGTGGGCTGCTTTCCTCTGCGCACGCAACGATACTCAGCAACACAATGGAAAAGACAAACCCGGCCAACACCAGTCGCCAAGTCGGTCTATTGCCCCTTTTCCCTGCGGAAATTGCCCCTGCCTGTAACTCGTGTGCGGCAGCCGGTTTCAATTTGCCCCCGTCACTCCAGCGAGAACCCCTCATACCCGTTGGCCGCCACGTCGGCGCGCTTGGCCCGCATCACCGGGGCCGTGTCCGGACTGGTCAGCAGCGCCCGGGCCTTGCCCGGAATGTTCGCTCCCACAAACCAGGAGTCTGCCTGGCTCCGGAGAATCTTGGAGCCGGCCTCGTTTACGTGGGTAACCCAGTCGTCCTCAGCTTCCAGTGTTGGGGATATGCGGACGTATTCGTTCTCCCGCACGTAGCGGATGCACTCCGCCACCCACTCTACCAGCGGTTCCGCGGCGCGGACAAAGTTGCCGACCGATGCGGCGTTGATGGTGAACATATTGGGGAAGCCGTTGCTCTGGATGCCCATATAGGTGCGGGGCCCGTTGGCGAACTTGTCCCTCAACAGTTCTCCGCCAATGCCTTTGATATCTATGCGGTTAAAGCGACCCGGTAACCGCGTCGTAGCCCGTTGCAAAGATGATTACGTCCAGCTCATGCTCGGCGTCGGCCGTCCGCAGGCCGGCGGGTGTTATGCACTGGATGGGCGCCTTTTTGACGTCCACCAGCAGGACGTTGTCCCGGTTGTACACCTCGTAGTACCCGCTCTCGCAGGGCAGGCGCTTGGAGCCGAACATGTGGTCCTTGGGCACCAGCATTTCCGCCACTTCCGGGTCATGCACCCGCTCGCGAATCTTGTTGCGGAAGAAGTCGGCGTAGTCCTCGTTGGCCTCGCCGGGCATCATCACGTCGTAGAAGTTGGATAGCCACTTGGCGAACCCGGGCTCTTGCCACAACCGTTCGTACTGCTCCAACCGCTCCTCTTCAGAGACCTCCAGGGCCGACCTGGGATCGAACGTGTGGATGAAGGAACCGGCCGTCTCGGCGCACTTGCGGAAAATCTCCGGATAATTGGCCTTTATCTCCTGCTGCATTTCTTCGCTGATTGGCTCGTTGCGAAGTGGTGCGCAGAAGTTTGGAGTGCGCTGGAACACCGTGAGGTGCCCCACTTCCTTGGCAATCTCGGTTATTAGCTGCACCGCCGTAGCCCCGGTGCCAACCACGCCCACCCGCTTCCCCGCCAGGTCCATACCCTCTTTGGGCCAGCGACCGGTATGGCACCACTTGCCCTGGTAGGTTTCCAGACCCTCAAAGTCTGGTACATAGTGGGCTGAAAGCAGGCCCACCGCCGTTACCAGGAATGGGGCCCGCGCCCGGTGTCCGTCCTCGATTTCCACCAGCCAGGTGTTGCGGTCTTCCTCAAAGGTGCAGGACGCCACCCTGGAGTCGAAGCGAATGTGCCCTTTAAGGTCGAATTTGTCCGCCACGTAGTTCAGGTACCGTTCGTTCTCCGGCTGCCCCGAGTACAGTTCCTTCCAGTCCCATTCTTGCAGAAGTTCCTCGGAAAAGGAGTAGCCATAGCTGAAGCTCTCGGAATCGAAGCGGGCGCCCGGATACCGGTTCCAGTACCAGGTGCCGCCCACGCCGTCTCCGCTCTCGAAAACCCGAACCGACATGCCCAGGTTTCGCAGGCAATACGTTTGATACAGACCGGTAACGCCTGCCCCGATAACGATGGCGTCGAACTGTTCAATTTCGTTGGCCGCACTTGGTCCGTTGACGTTAATTTGCTGCTTGGTGTTGACCATAAGTCTTTCCCCTTAGTGGAGTTGATAGCAATATACCAAAAAAGGGACGGCAGTACGATTAAATCGGGCCGGATGCCCGGACCAATGCTAAAGACCAGGGTTCCGTCCCTTTCCGTTCCGTGGTCAATCGAATCTTACCCACACCCCTCTATTTAATATAATGTACCACTACCAACCGGGCGCTTCCCTCCCCCTATACCAGCCCCCAGCGAGGTGTTACCCATTGGACGAACCAACCCTTAACGAAAACGTCCGTTACGAACCGAACGACCATCCCCCGCTCCCCGTAGCCGCCGGCGCCGCTGTCCAGGCCACCATACTCATGGTTACACCCGTGGTGCTGACCGTAGTGATCGTGTTGCGTATCGCGGACCAGCCTCAGAGTTTGATTGTGTGGGGCGCCTTCGGGGCCCTGCTGGTTAGCGGGCTCACTACTATCCTCCAGGCGGCTGGTGTCGGGCGTTTCGGGTCTGGGCACTTACTCTTGATGGGAACTTCGGGGGCTTTCATCGCGGTGTGCATCGCGGCCCTTAAGCCCCAATCCACCGAAAGAGTGGAGCAGGTTAGCGTCCTGAAGGGCAAGAAGTGCTC